CTCTCAAAACGTGTATATCATAGTTAAAAATACCTGGTATTTCAGCCGACAAACACGCAACCCAACAAGAACACCTAAACAATTTGACAAAATACAAACCAGATGAAAAAAAAAAAAAAAAAAGAATATCCATTGTCAATAAATTACAATAACAGGCTAGTTTTTATGTTACTACAGATAGAAAGAAATTACTCCTTCAAAATTATCAGTAACTATTACAAGCAGAAGTATATTTTTCCTACTCAAGAAGTTTATACTACAAAGCAATGAACAAATTAAACTTCAGCTGTTATACCGTTAAAATTTCCCAGAAATTCCAACTGAAGATGTGATCGCTAACGATTCACACCAAAGAGAGTCATCAATTTTCACTGAAGACACTAATTTCTAACAGATATATCAAAGCAATATGAGTTTCTTTATATAGCAGGTTTGGTTTGGTTCTTTACAAACTGGCAACTATATTCCCATACATACTTTTACAAATATTAAAAGGTTATTTATAAGTGCCAAGTGATGCAGTGGCTTCAGTTATATCTACCCTGTCGTGACCCCTTGCCATGTTGGCTCCCAAGGTAGGCTCTGCCCCAGGCAGGCACTGCTCCAGCACCCGCAGGGTGCTGCAGGTCAGGAGCTACACAAATGGGCAGTAAAAATTGCATGGCATTTATCTATGGCATGCTTATTTCAAGTACTTTGCCATTAATAAACAGTGAATTCATGTTAGTTAAATAACAGATTTAACTTGTTAACAACCTGTCTGTTAAATGCTATTTGGTTAATCATTTAGACCACAATACGTGCAAATAACTGTAAGACTGCCTTAAGTTACCTAATTCATTACTATGGACCCGTATACATTATAATTCACATGTTCTCTCTGAGTAACTAGATTCATTCAGCTTTTTTGTTGGCCACAGCAACAATGAACTTCACTAACATCTATGGTTAGAAGTCACACCAGTCAAATAAAGGTTAACCTCTTATAACACCTTTTGCTCATACTTTTTTGGTTTGTGGAAGTCTAGTAAGTGAAATTTAATCTATGGTTCCTATTCATATTAATTCCGATAGCTTAAAACAGCTTCCACACCAATACCATCTTTATTTGTGTGCTGGCTTACATACTAACTAGGACAGTGAAAGCTCCTTTCACCTCTCTATTCTTTTCTTTTAAATACATATATCTAACGGCACACTCAAACCGACCTGTTGAATCACACTACCTAGCAGAACTATATTCTCTCAGACCAACTACTTGAAGAAAAATTGCCGTACTTCATCAAGTAAGAATGATTTTCCAGGTACTGTCACATTCTCTAATACTTCACAATCCAGGTGCCACAACTTCATCTACAATTTTATTCCGAAATGTTAACCAACAGATTTCTTACCTCATCATTGATGACCTCAGATTGTTCTTCCTCTTCTTCTTCCTCCAGATCCAAGTCATTTTGCCTCAGGTATGCTTGCAGTGGAACACAATGTTTCTTCTTAAAAGCTAGAAAGTCCATCATATTCCCCTGAAGATGTTGCAGGAAAAACAGTTCAATCAAACATTCCTTAAAAGTTTCCTTAAGAATTTCCATCTGCTTGTGGTGATGATCCAAACATTGTTTTCTCATTTGAGCAGTCTCTTGGTTGGCAGGAGGAATCTCCTCCAATTTTTTGGGTTGTTTTTTCACTGCTGTATTAACTGTAGGAGTAAGAGGAAGACTTGACAGCCCCTGTGGTACAGTGGCCCGCGAAGGACTTGTGGGAGGAGGTGGTGATGTCATTCCAAATGCACTAGGTCCCCCAACTCCTGCTATCAATCCACCAGAAGTCCTGTCATATCCAATGGGTCTACCCAGCTGCTGACCTTGAAGCACCTGCTGCTGCTGTTGCATAAGTTGCCCTTGGATAATATTGCTGATTTGGGGTGGCAAGCTGGTCGTTGTAATATGGCCCGGGCTAGTCAAAGATTGCATATTTGCTCCGCTAGCTACAGGACTCTGAGGACCGAGATGATGAATGGTGCCACCAGACTGCGAGTGAGGCTGTGAAAGCCTGCGTTCCCTCACCGCAGCAGGGGTCCCAGAAGATGGCAGCTGTACTTGTGCAGCAGCTCCTTGAGCAATTTGTGCAATTCCTGGCCCTTCTTGATACACGAAGTGTCCACCATTGGAAGGACTCAAGCTGATTTGTCTCACAAGCACACTAGCATCTACAAATCCTCTAGTAGGGCTCTGGCTGCACATACCCAAGCCAGGCCCTGGAGTGCCTGCCCGAACATTTGGTAACGTTTGCACTGGCACAGGGTTAGGCTGGGTAGGGCTTTGAGACTGAACTTGTTGAGGCAGTGGTGAAGTAACTTGAATATACGATGGGGATCCATGCTCAAACCGCCTCTGCTGAGGACTGAACTGAAAACTCGGTGACGTTGGGTTTGGAATCGGCAATGGGGTAAGTGTTATCTGCTGGTTTCCTGAAGCCACTGGTCCAACGTTTTGCAGTGTGATGTTGACATTCTGCCCAGCCACTGGACTTCGACTCATTATAAACTGTTGGATTTGGTAACTGGGGGACTGGGGTGCAGATGGACTTGCAGAAGGTGCAAAAGAAGCTGCAGGGGACTGGGGTAAATTTGCCTGTTGCTCTTCTCCCTCACTGCCTGTGAAGGACCTGGACCTCTGGAGCTGGCGCTGGGCATTCTGAGGGCCATTACCATGGTGCATTCTTACTGTTCTAGGTTTTTTACAGTATACTCTAAAGAAATACACAAAAACAGAAATTCAGGAAAGGTAAAAATATTTCTGTAACCAACACTATTTAGTTACTATTGGAAAGGCTACCTTATAGTCAGAACTCGGTTATCGTGTCTTTACAGCTACTTAAAATGTTTTCCATCCTCAGTCAAATTATCCAAAACCCTCAGCACCACAAAAGCTCACTTAAATTCCTCATACATTTCTCTAGCTAACAAAGTCCAATTAAATAGTTTTACAGATGATACGTTCATCTTAGATAGTTACAGGACTTCAAATAATTTAAAAAATACTTTTTCCCTTGCTGTGGAACTTCAAGAAACAACAGTCTCCAAAATCAAAAGTATCTACTCTTTTTTGTGTTCATTATTCCCAACATTTCAGTGCTTTTAACATTTAAAAAATGTTTCAGTGCTTTTTAACATTTGAGAACATTGTGTTCTCAAAAACACAACAGTTGCTTAAAATGTACAGTACGCTGCTTCAACAATAGCTAAAAATATTATAAAAATGGACACAGCCTATTCAACTTCAGTTTTTTAGCTACTGAAGAAAAAAATGCACCATGAAAAATCTCCCTACCAAGTCATCTAGATGTTTGAAAAAGCATTGTACTTGATACTTAGATCTGCCTTGTCTTTCCTTCAGAACAGTAAGCCCTTGAAAAAGATTGAAATTAATCCAAATCTGCATTTGATTTAAAATGCTATTTATTGAGCAAAACCATCCATAAAACCAAAAACATTCTGGTTTTGTATTTCAATCATTGACAAACAAAAATTCCACTGACGTGAAGTGACAGGTAGATTCAGTGCTGGGTGACACATAGCAGTAGCATCAAAAGAAAACTGAAAATTGAAGGGTTTTTTTTCAAAATCTACCTCATAGTTTGAAAACAGCAGTTTCATTTTTGGTATTTTGGGCCCAGCACACATACAGGTACACTGCCATTCGTCTTTGCTCCGAACTGCAAGGGGGTTACAAGTGGCAGCAGCACTCCTGGAAGGGTACCGCGATGCAGCAGCTCATCCCGCTCCTCCTCTGCTGCTCAGGCCGGCAAACACAACTCATCTCTTCCGCTCTCCTGTCCTGGGCTATCCGCAGCCACCTGCACAAGCCCTGGGGATGGAGAAATCCCCTTCCTTGCCCCCGGGAAAGAGTCGGCTCCCCGGGCCGGGGGGGAGCGGCGGGAGGCTGCGGGGCGGGCAGGGGCTCACCCGCCCGGGGGGCACCGAGCACCGCTCCGGGCAGCGTTCGCCTCTCTCGCTCCTCGGAGCTCGAACCTGAGGCAGAGCCCTCAGCGCAGAGGGGAGGAAGGAAAAATCCCGCTCCTCGCAGGCACCTTTTCTAAAAGATTTAATAATTCTGCAATACTTCGTGGTATTGTGACTCTATCGTAGCGCAGATAGTAAATAATTAAGATTCAAATGATATCACCTATCGCCAGTAACAAGGTCTTATTATTTTAATTACCTATACTTCGCTAACATTTACGGCCCAAGTGAAAACACTTAATTAATGACACGCTGATAAGGAAGCGTCGCCGGCCGCTGCCAGCGCGGGGAGAAGGGATCGCCTTTTGTGTGCGGAACCCGAACTATGCGAAGGGCCCGCGGGCCGGGCCCACGGCGAGCGCCCAGTGCCGGCGCCCGAAGTTCGCGCGGGGGACCCCCCGCCGAGGCCCGCGCCCCCCGCGCCGGGGCAGCGCCCCGGGAAGCGCCGCCGCTCCACACACGGCGTGTCTGTGTGCGTGTCCGTGTCCCCCCCCCCGCTCCCGCCGTGCAGGCGGCGCGGGGAAGGCCCGTTCCTCCTCCGCCGCCAGGACCGGTGCCGCCGGGCCTCGGGCCCCAGGCCTGCGGCGGGTACGGCGGGGAGGAGCGGGGCCCGGCCGCCCTCCCCCGGCCCCCCGAGCCCAGCGGGCCCCACTTACCGCGGGCGCCGGGGCCAGACTTTCCATTCGCTCCCGGCAGGAAGCGGGGGCAGGGGGCGGCCGGAGCGGCAGCCGCTACCAGCGCCGGCAGGAGACAAACCGCGCCTCCCGCGCGCCCGGCGCCTGCGCCACCGCTCCGCCGGCCGGAGCGCGCTCTGCGCCTGCGCCGCCTGCCCGCGCCTGCGCGCCGCCGCGCCGGCTGCCGGCCGGGGCCCGCGCTCCGCGGAGGGGGGGCGGGGCGGGGCGTGGGGTGGGTCCTGCGGCCCGGGCGGTCGGTCTGTCCGGACAGGGAGCGCAGCGCGCCCAGGAACGAGACGCGGGCACACAGCACAAAATTACCTTTTATTGCAGGGTAATAAGCGTTCAGAGAGTAATTTCTGACAGGGCAGGTAGCAGTGCCGACCCTTTTCTTCAAGATTTTGTGTAAAAATCCACCACGCCTGCTGGCGGGACGAACTAGACCCTGCTTACCTGGAGCACGGGCAATAACATCCTCAAATGATGGGAAGGGAGAAAAAAAAACCAAAACAAAACAAAACAAAAAACAACAACAACAACAACAAAAAAAAACTTAGTGCCACTCTTGATTACAAGAAAACAGGGCCAAGAAAACTCAGGCGATAGTTTAGCAATAAACGAAATACAACTTCATGGCGTTCACCGAGCCGATACGTCAGTGCTTCCACCAGGCCGTGCGGCGGGGGCTGCGGGGCGGCTGGGCCTGCCCGGGGCCGGAGCGCCGCGGCCGCCGCGCGTCCGTCTGTGCCGCTGCAGGCTCGGGGCTCGCAGGAGCAGGACTCGGTTCCTGGAGCATCTCGCGACTAAATCTAAATTTTAGATGAGTGTCAGTTACTAACTAAAAGTATAGAGATAAAACTAAGATAAAACTGAAAACAAGTGACAGTATACGGAGATAACTGTTTAAAATTCTACATAATAATACAACATCTGGGGATATACTATTTTCTAAAGAGTAGAGAACTTACTGAAAGACTATCTCCCCATCATTTTCACTTACTGTCAATAAATTCTAAAGTAAGCAATGCTGGTTACTAAAGATTTGAGGGGTTATTTTCAATAGCAAAGTGTAAACTGGGAAAGTAAAAGGTTACCCAATATAAGCAGAGTCATCAAAAGCATCTACACAGCTGTCATCAGAGTGATGGTTACAACTGATGAGGTCAAGTGCTTCTGCTTGAAAAAACTGGCCGGGGGTTGTGGGCTCCAGCTGGGCTGGACTGGCAGGTGCCACAGCCATTTGCTGGGATACAGCTATGGCTGGAGAGAGTATATGTCCCGAAGTCTGAAAGTGTCATAAAACATACTGTATTTTTAACATTTGCAAGTGTTCTAAAGTGATCAGAAAAGAGGGTGTGAAGTTTTTAAAAATTATTCCAAGGAGGGAGGTAAGTACATTGAAAAAGTACAATTATATTATTACCATAAAATTACATTTGCTCCGGTCTATATATGGAATGCCTTTTTTACCATCATAAAATTCACTCTGGGATGAAGCCCAAAATCCTGTGTCCGTAAAACAAAGCTTGTCTATAATTATTCTTTGGATAGTATTCTTTTATCTTTGAACAAGACTGCATTTTTGACATAACATTTAAGTCCATCACCTCAGCTCAGATAAAACAAAATACTGTTACTCAATGTCCCAATTTTCCAACTTTGCTGAGTCCTACACACAGCCTCAGCAAAGTTGAAACAGGTGCTATAAATGCACATGAATCTGTGCCTACATATTCATTTAGCTGAGGGAGGAACATATTTCTCTGCCTGCAACTGCAGGAGTGATAAGAATTCACATATGCCATGGCAATCATGTCTTTGTTTCTCACCTGTGCTTCCCCCTGTGTTTGGATTTGCTCCACTGTTTGTTCCTCTTCTGGCTTCTCAGTAGGCTGTTGCTCCGACAGTTGTGGAGCTATTGGTTCTTCAATTAGTGCCTATGACAACAGAAATAGGTGGAAGGGGGACAGGGGATCACAGCAATGGGCTTCTTTTTAATTATTTTAATTCTGAGTAGATAAAAACCATGATTGTTACCATGAAGTCATGTAAAGATTTATCTTGAAATGAATTCCTAATTGTCTACACCAATAATTGCAACAGAAAATTCTGATTTGACAAAAAAATTATTACATATCAGGGTTGCCTGCTTCTGACATTGCTAAAGTGCCAAAAAAGAAGACAACCACAGAAGTGTAAAGGAACAGGTCTGGAATGGACAGCTGATGCTCTGAAAGGGGATTAGACAGTCAAAACCTATACTGAACAACTTTCAGTCCTCCAAAAACTTGCTATTTTTCCTTACTCCCAGCCTTTGCAATTGTTTTGACATGAAAAAGTAATTGAAAAGATTTGAAAGTGAAAAGAATTGAAAAGGATGTACAGAGTGGAATTCACCTGGAAAAAACTGAACGGACCTTTTCCTGTATCATCACAGGTTCTGCACAGATGGAAGCAACCTCAGACATAGGCAGTAGCTTGTCATAGTTCTCTGCACTGAAAGTAAATGAAGTAGCTTAAACTAACTGCATTTTGTGTGACTGTTCTAATATCCATGACATTTTAACACAAAGAATTTTAAAATTCTGGAAGAGGAATCTGCAATTAAGATCTGACAAAGCTGGGGATTAGCAGGGAACTCCAGACAGTTCTTTACCTAGAAATATGACAGCTATATTGTCACACCTGATAAAACAGTTGAAAGCCTGAGCTGACCCTCCTGGTACATCACATGGAGCAATACTGAAGCACTTTGAGCTTTTCTTTACATCAGCACAAGCACAGGTTTGATTCTTTAACAGTAAATGTTCTACCTTAACTTAAGGCTGAAGGTCATCCCAGTCCCTCTGACAAAAGAAACACCCCTATGAAATATGTGCTTAAGAGACAAAAAAATTTCACCAATCAGGCCATCAAACTGATTAAATATTAAATCTGGGAAAAAATATAATTGACAGTAGAAGTAAACTTACAGAAGCCTATTTGAGTAACTTCTTTTTCTAGTAGTCATTGTCATCAACTCAAAGTGATTCATATAGATTTGAGTACGCTCAGAATTCTGGTCTTTAGCATAGGGCTGTCTAACATGAGGAGGATAACCACCTCTGTCCTGAAATAAATAGAAATTGAAGACTTAGATACCAAAAATAAGTAGTCTTAAGTGCCCTGTTGCAAAAATCATACTTTGCAATAGGTTTGACTGAATAAAATTCACATCCTGCCACTTAAATAAAAGTTAAAATGAATAGCTCCTCTTCCTTATTTTTAATATACTGATAGGGTCATATCATTGTCACAGCACTGGGGAAATTCATATTGTTAAGTGTATGGAAACTATAATAAATATAACCTGTAGTAGTCATACTGACAGGGGAAGATACTTACTAGCATTTGCTTGTATACCAAGCTACTCAAAATTCTAAAATGTAGTTATGAGTCTGCTTACAAAACACTCATGTAGTCCACTAACAGCAATGAGGAATTAAAAAACAAAACAAAACAAAAAAACACAACAACTAAAAAAACCAAAACCCAACAAAACCAAACCCAACAAAACAAAACCAAACCCAACAAAACAAAACCAAACCCAACAAAACAAACAAAGCCAAACCCAACAAAACAAACAAAGCCAAACCCAACAAAACAAAAACCCACCAAGTTTTCACAATGTAACACACATTTCAACTTAAACTCACCTTTCCTTCCAGACCTGCAAATGCTTTTATGTAATGATTTTGGCATTGCTTTGGGGACCGATAAACATAGTTACAAGAGTTAACAACATCGCTGACAAAGTCCCAGTTTGCTTTCTGTGCTGGTGACACAATAGCAAGGTTTAAAGGGAGTGTCCGTAACTGTTTCATCGCCTACAGGCAGAGAGAATCAAATCAGTGTAATGTTTCAATTAAAAGCTTTTCTTGTGTGCACAAGCAAGTGTAATCCTGTATTAATCAAGGTCTATGGATGCTCTAATAAACTTCCAAGTAAAAAGTTTCTGAAGTCAATAAAAACAAAGTAGCATCTTACATTTAACAGTGCCAAGTCTTCAGCAATTAGCCATGCAGGACTATCTTTCCCAGTGTCAGCAGCTGACTTGCTGAGAGCTGACATGGGTCTTGCACAACACATTTTCTGGTTTACCCAGTGGAGGGTGTCTTGAGCTTTGCTCTTCTGTTGTGTTTTCAATAATCTTGGAGTCACTTGGTTGAAAAGTGAAGGTGGAGGAACAACCATCCTTCTGTGGCAATGCTTCTTTCTCTCACCTGAAGCTAAATGGCAGGACAAAGTTATTATCTCCAGTGAGAAAGGAACTTTGTACAACAAGATCATGACAGAAAGCCAACTGCTGCAAATCATCTAACTAATGATAAGTCTTTTGCAGTACTTTTCTGAATGCAGGTACCTCCCACCTGTGGTCCCCTAGTACAGTATTTGACTTGATCAGTCATTTCGAAACAGCTTCTTGCTTCACTAAGAAAATAAGCTGAAAAACAGATCAAATGGATGCACAGGAGTCTCACTGCCTTATTGCTGCTCATTTAATTCACAGGACAATAGCAAGTTTTCACAGTGCACTCCCTCACACTCTACATTCAATCATTTTGTCTGAGTAATATCAATCTTAGCAGAGATAACAGTACATGCATGTCTAAATTTTTAAACACAAACTTAAAGATATTCTTGCAAAAGAGTTTTCATATTGTTTCACACTGCAATGTTACCATGCCTTCCCATGCAATTTTGAATCCAACTTACAAGCCAGATCTGTTCTCTGACGCTTACGCGCCGTCCTAACAAACAGAGGTGGAAGCTTAGACTCTGGAATCAGGGTACTAGTATACATCAGACACATAACAGAGTCAGTGTAGACATCATCATGATTCTCAGGTACAACAGGAGGAGTCCAAAGCTTCAGAAAAACCAAATCAAAACAAAACAAAAGGTTAGCAACAGCAACAAAAAACCCCAAACCCCACAACCCATAGTTTCACGTTAATTGAAATATTTTAGGTAAGGTTTTCTTCAGATGAAGTAAGAGCTACTGACTTACAGGCATTATTTCTGTTTCTCCATCTGGTCTGTCACAGACAAATTCCTGTATGAGAAACAAAGAATTTTTGATACCTCATACATAATCCAGTCCAGAACCCAGCATTTACAAACATGAACTTGTTTGCAATAATTATAATTTTTCAATTAAAGTAGAAAAAAATATTTAGGGAATGACTCTTAATTTTCAATATTTTTCTCAATCTCTTCCTTTAATTATTATTACCTTGATACATAAGTGTGTATTTCCATTTCAACTCAACCTACCAACCCACAGGTCTGCAAAAACAGCAATCTGCTACTCTACAAGAACTAAAACTGTCCACAGTTTTAATTTCAAGAGCATTCAATTTCAAGAGTACAATAATTGTGCAAGGGCACAAGACCAGTGCAGTACAAACCCAACAGAAACAAATACTTGGTTCGTAGTCACAATATGCAAATTCATCGAAAAGCAGGGACTTGGAGATCCCTTGATGTTACCTTGTTATAAGCATCTTGTCTGGTATATGTTAAGAGTTCCTCTTCCACTCCCTGCTGAAATTTTTCTTCTGCCTTTTCCAGCTCCTTGGCATGCTGATATTCCCATTTTATATATGCAGTTTTTAACTCCTTTTAGGAAGAAACTTTGTACAATTTAAAATACTACCACTTTTCACAATACATATGAGTCCTGGTTTAACTGGGATAGAGCTTATTTTTCTTAGTAGCTAGAAAAGTGCTGTGTTTTGGCTTCAGTATGGGATTTGGTATGAGAAGAATGTTGATAGTAGACTGATGTTTTTAGCTGTTGCTAAGAGATCAAGGGCTTTTGAACTTCCCATGCCCTGCTTGCAGGATGTGCACAAGAGCCTGGGAGGGAACACAGCCAGAGCAATGGTCCCAAATTGCCCAGTGAAATATTCCATATCGTACAACATCATGCTCAGTGTATGGATAAGGGTTGGCCAGGAAGCTTCTCCTTCCCTTCCAGGAGAGTTCTGGGATTTTCTCTCCTCTGAGATCGCTAGCTAGGAACAGACTGGGCATTGTTTGGCAGGTGGTGAGCAACCGCATTGTGCATTACTTGGTTGTATTTTCTATTATCACTATCATTATTATTATTATTATTTCACTTTTATTTTATTTCATTTATTAAATTGTTTTTATCTCAACCTATGAGTCTCCTTACCTCCAATTCTTCCACCTATCCTGCAGGGCAGGGGAGGGTGAGTGAGTGGCTGCATGGTGTTTGACCGCCAGACGGGTTTAAACCATGACCATATGCTAACAGCAGCAAATTGCCACTGATCCGAGTCTCACCTTTTATAGGCTAACAGTCATAGCAAAGTTAGTTAAACTGTGTTTTCATTCTTGGGTAAGGCCCTCATACCAGTAAAGAGAAACAGAAATATGTCTACCTGTTAATTAGGAACCAGTGTGGTTTTAGACCACGATCATTTCGAGCAAAATTTCAGTGCTCATAAACAAAAAACAAAGAAAAAAATCCCAAATAGACAAACAAAAAATAAAATCTGACAACACTTGTGCTTTTCTATTTTGTTTTTATTAATTACTCAGAAAATTAAATATAATCACTTACCTTGTTGACTCTCTGGCTTTTTTGATCATTCAAAGTATGAAACAATTCCAAGAAATTCAACGCATACTTTTCAATTGGCTTAAGCTGTTCAGAAAAACATTTTGACACTTTGCTAGTTGTTTAGCTTTTGAATTAGAAACATGTACATAACCAGTGATTTAAAAACAAGCAGAAAAACACCCCAACCAATAAACATATTTGTTTCAGTTGCAAATAATGGCACCAGAATTAACACAGAAAAGAGATCTAAGGACCAAAAATCTGATAGTCTGGTCCCTAGCTAGTCTGCTCACATCTCACCACTATCACTGATAATAGGATCCAACCATTGGCTTCCATTTTCCTAACTGAAAAAAAAAATAATAATGAGAATCCCATCCAAGTTATTATGCATACTCTTGACTGGTTCTTAGCAAGCAGGCTGCTGCTTTGGTTCTGCACAGGTAGCCAAAGGGAAAAGGAGACAATAAGAATCAGACAGAACTTGGGGAATGCTAAGAATGGTCATTTCAAGGTTAGGAAGAAACAGATCCAAGGCTTTTAAGGAAAAACACAAAGCACAGGACTGTAAAACAGTTTTATATCACAAGACACAATTTAGTTCAATGCACTTCACAATCCTTAGGAGGACATTTGGTGACTTAAGTGTTTCAGTAGGTGAACAGAACTATAAAAAAACTCAGATTACCTCCCGGGATTGTTTCAATATTTAAGTTGCACAGAACTGTTTCATGTAGATCGAGTGGAAATAAGCCATTTGATTGTTGCACAGGAAAGTAAATTTCAAATATTTCTAAACATTTACTTAGAACAAGAGAAATCATCATACCTGATCCACAAAGCTAACCAGCTGTTCTAACTGTGAAGGAACCGTGGTATTTCTTGAATCATACAACTCTGAATCTATGTAATTTCTTATCTCAGATAATGTCTCTTCTGTAAACATCCCAGAATCCTCTTTTCCATTTTCAGAGCAAAGAACCTTATGGAAAAAAGGTTGCAAGTATTCAATAAGACAATGTATGATGTCAAAAGTTTTTTAATCATCCTAAAATTGAGTTTAGAAAAGTCAGGTTACAGACATATTTGACACCATTTGCTGCAGGACATGTTGATTTTGTTAGATTAAAACAATGCCAAAAATAGTGTCAAATTATAATTGGAAGAAGCAGTTTTCTTTCTAGATATTTTTATTTTCTGATTTTGTATATGAGCTAGCAGCTCAGGATTTTCATTGATTTTTAACTGTGATCACATACCACTGGCCCCCAGATAAGTCTGGAAATATATATAAAACTAGATGATGTTTAAAATTCTGAAGGACTACTTTTTTACATTTCATTAAAGAACGGCTCACATTCTTAATATTACAGTACCTGAGTTAAAAAGCCTGTTGAATAATCATCTCCCTGAGCAGTCACTTCTTGAATCAAATGTTTAATACCTTTTTTCAACAGCCTCTCTTCGACAGAATTTCCGCTTATAAGCCTGTAAAACAAAGAAACTAATTAAATACTGTTTTCCTAGAAAACAGTGACACTTTCTGAAACTCAGCTGTTTCATGCCTAATGTTCCCCATCTACAACAGTGAGCACCAACACTCATTTAGAGTCCAGCAGGTATTTTCATAGGAAGTTTTGTATTCGTTTTTTAGTTTCTTAGAGGAAAGCTTTATTTAAACATCTGATTTCATATTTTCAAAACACGGTGTCCTTTTAAGTTCTTATTTTAAAAATTAACAATAAAGAATATCATCTTCTATACAATTAGTTTTTTTTTAAAAATCCTTACAGTAGCCGGGTATTTGCTAACAGTGTCTGCACTGCACACCCATGCATACCTGGCCAGTGGTGTGAGCAAGAGCTCACCTCTGCTCTCAGCACATCCTTCCAGGAAAAGAAACAGTCACTGGAGAGAAGCTTTCAAATACATCTTAGAACTACATGAATATCAGCATCTCATCACTAGTGGATTTGAAATCCAATGATAGACCATCAAGAAAGAAATTTATTGTTTATCAAGAGCAGAAAACACCCACAGATATTAATGTTCATTTTGACTGTCCCAACACAGAAATCCAGATGGCTGACAAGATGACAGTGGGAGGGAAAGACAGGAACAGAAGATATATTAAGGGAAGAAGTATTTATGAGCGATCAGTCTTTAAAGGGATCTTAAACGACCAAATGATTTAAACTAAAAGGACAACCTCAACCGAAAACCTTAGTTTCACCTAAAAACATCTTCCCTCTATTTTTGATTTTAAAAGACATATACTATTTCTTAGCATAAAAGTCACCTGTACATGTGAATATCTCCGTGTCTTGCAATTTTATCACACCATTCTTTAGCCTTTGTATCCATCAGCGGATCTAAAGCAGTGTCATAGAAGACAACAGTATTCACATCTATATGGCTGACACCTGTGGAAGGAGTGTCAGAAGAAAGAATAACACAGAAGAATCGCTTGTCTTGGTTGAAGTTTTTTATGGATTCCTAAAATGGGGAGAACAAGCAACTTAGTTACAAATTCACATTAATAAAGCACAAATCTCTAAAACTTTTTTATGGAAGAAGATCAGAAAAATTGTTTTCTTATTACTTCCCCAATGTACATTAAGCACGCAAACATTTTAAGTTATCTGACTGCCCACATTACAGATCTACATAATTAAAAATTAATTTGTGTACCATTAAAACTATTAATTTATGGTGCAGTCAACCAGATAAAAATCTGAAGAGCTATTACAGTACACACATTATGTCCTATGACTAAGCACACCTGACTGGGTTATTACATTCTGTGCATGCTTCATGGGTTTTTTCTCTATTGACTAAAATGAATCCCTTCTATTGTTCTGCCTTGTGTTGCTTTAAGGCAAAGTATTCCTCTATGTTTTATACGGCATCTGACAGAAAGCATAACAGTGCAATTTGAAATAAAAAATAAGACAAGAATAACTTAACGATATTGTTAATGTTTGCTCAAACTGTAGGCCCCAGAGGATACTGAAAATCTTACTGGAGAGGGAAATGAGCATACTTTCAATTTATCCTCAGGCAATGCCAGGGCACTTTACAAAAAACAAAAGCCCCTGGAGTAAGGCTGAGGAAGTACCAACATAAAAACAGCAACTGCATTTGAAGTACTAACAATGAGGATATCTACAGATAATGAAAGCAAAAGTAATTAATCAAAACACTATAGTGAAATAAAATGTCTGTATTTCGAGCACAAATTACTAATAAATGTAGGACAACTAGAGGCATACCTCTTGGAAACACTCTGGATGCTTCATCAAAGAGTAATATAACTGACATATTTCGTATATAATTACATATTTTGTGCTACAGCTACATACATACTTTTCTTAAATAACTAATGAAATTATGCAAATGAATTTTGCAAATGTATTAGACTTTCTTTTAGCATTTTCCCTTTCACTATAATCATCTTTTAACTATTAGCTTAAGTAAGAGGTTCTCTTACCAGATAATGCCAACTGTGAGCACCATTCTCATTAACTCTTATGTATGTGAGAAAATGGAAGTTCAAGAACAGCTCCAATATATCAAGCATTGGAACCATCTGCGTCAAAATCAACACACGATGTCCTTTTGCTTTCAACTTCCGAAGCAAGACAGACAAAGCTTCCATCTTGCCTGTTTATGAAATAGGAACTTGAAAGTCTGCAGGTAGCATTCATTAGAGAAACCACATTCACACGGTTATAACAGGTGGTGAGCTTTTTAATACCTGAATCACGCTGCACCAGTCGAGGATCCGGGAACTGTAGAAAATGAGGCCTTGCTATTTGCTGGTAATAGGGCAGTATCTGTTCCTTCAGATTAAACTTCAAGACATTCATTTCATGGGTATATGTATGAGGAGGATTTGCTACATACAAATATGGAGGAGCAACAGCTACAGCTGGCAATATGCACAGATCTCTATAAAACAAACCAAAACTTTAATATACTAATTTTTAACAGCTTGGGCCATTGACTACTCAAAAACAGTAATAAAGAAGATGTCTGCAGGGAAGCAGAAGCTGGATAAAGGTAAGTGAAAGTAAATCAGTATATGAAGTTTTATGTTAGCATCAAGTAAATGCAAAACCACTCAAGATCAGAACGAGATGAGGAAATTACCACTACCCATAAAGTTACCAAGATAAGCTGACTTGCAACTCCTACTGTTTGGTAAGTATTCACACAAAAAATACAAGCTATGTCAAAATCAAGTAGAAATGCTAGATAGATAATAACAATTGCCATGAAACTATTAAGAGTTTTAAAATCTTAAATGATCTAAAATTATACATCAGGCATGCAAATAGATTCTGCATAAAGTAATTTAGCTTGCAATAAGGATTAAAAAAAGCAACTCATCACTTTTAGCATTTTACAGTACTTTCCATAAATACCCTGGTTTGGATGGTAGTATAGACCCATCAAATCTGTGCAAAGATGGGAAATAGATTTGTCTCAATTACCTAGTAACAACATCCTTCAGGGCGATCTGTTGCTGCTTCAGTGTCAGAATGAGTTCTTGCAAGGGATCCTTTAGAACCTCTGAAGTCCCTGAATATGGAAGGCAATTTGCAAAGCCAGCCCAGCGCCATTTGTTAATCCTGGCAGAACAATGCTGAGCGATTTTTCTTTCACTGGTCCAAGAGCAAATTTCCAACAAGTCTCTGCCATACAGGGGCGTTCTGGAACAACGACGCTCATTCTCAAAGTATATTTTGTCCAGGTGTTCCTTTAGTTGTCTTTTTTCTTCTATGATACCCTTTAAATTGAAAAATATTTTCTGAATGTATTTTGACCAGATAAAACTTACGTGAATGAGAAATTTATGCAAAAGAAAGTTGAAAATTAGGATAACTTAGTTAATGTGACAGTTCTATTAATGACTGTGAAAGGAGAAGTGAGCAGGAGAAAAGCTAACAATTAGAATAGTATTTGTGATACAAGGACAGATGTTAAGTTTGGTATTTTAATGAAAAATAAATCTGCTTTCCTACTTTATGCCTACTGGCTACAATACAATGTCAGTTTCAAACTACTATTGGAGAGTCCGCTAGTACAGATGGGTAAGACCAGTCAATTACAATATTCTACATGCTTTAAAAACTAAACCTTTAGCTATTTTAGCAAACAGATGTGTACACATGAATCTTGTAAACTATACATTGTTTATGATCAAGTATATATCATACAAAGAGCTAGCACAGTACCTGAGTTGGACACAGAAGTCTAGATACTGATTTAGATTTAGTATTCAAGTCATCCACTGTCACGTTAATAAATTAATTTTTCCAGGAAAGCAGAAAGACAAGAAAAATATTTTAATGAAGAAAAATTATTTAATTTCACAGACTAATTATATTACAGTATAAGCGTATTGTAGCTTTTAGAATTTTGATTTCTGAATAGTTAAAAAGTTAACAAAAAAGAAAAAAAAAAAGGGAAAAAAAAGAGAAATATGTGAATTGAATCATGTGGCACCTTACCTTGCTGCTTCAGAGACTGTCTACCAGTAAGACGACAGAACTGACTGTAAGATAAAGTAAAAGTTTTCCCTCTAAACTGTAATGTTACAGGCTTCTCTGGCTCAGCAATTCTTTCTTGTGCTCCAGCTGTGGAAGACATTGGGCCAAGTACTATCTTGCTGGCTGTTAAGAGAAGACAAAAAAGTTACAAGGTTTAAAAAGAATTTCCTCACTGTATGCTGCAGAATTTGAATGCTTATCCTATGCACAGTGTGCCCTATTTCCAATGAAGGGCAATTTTACTCCAGACATAACTAACATTGCACTTAACTGCAAACAGACTAGGCCTGCCTCTAACACTATGTGCTCTTAAACTACACATGAAATGTTCTTCCCCTCAGTACCACTAGTAGACCTATTAAAAAAAAGATTATTTCCTAGGTACAATTTGACTGGTATTTCACATATATACTCATTTGACTTGACAATGTACAAACTTTGCAAGGGCTTCAAGAGTCTGCACATTTATATTTTAAGCACAGTCTTGGCAGAAAACAACCACAGAATAAGAGATCTTTTCCTGGACAATTCATTTTCAGCAATGGAAGAGTTCTTAGAACAGTTAACAGCACAAAAGAATAACTATCCTATATCATTTTCAGTCTCCCTTCATACTGAATGCTTCCCAATCAACCATGCAAAAACTTACACTGTAACCAGCTGAAATCAATATGTAGAGGATTTAGAAAAACCCTGAAGAAGAATGTGCTTGAAATACTGCACTACATCCCCAACCATCTGAAAACGATCTGTTCCAAAGCACTGTACCATATAAAAAAGACCCAGTTAAGACCTTTAGTAGTGGCTCGGCAGAGACCCCGCGAATGGCACAGTGATGATCTCTAAATCTTCTCAGTCAGTTAAGAATGACCTGTGTGAAAAGCTGCCTCACACACTGCAGGTCAGGTCTGAAGAGTTTCATTAAGATGGTATACCTGGAGACCAACACAACTGCCCGCAAAATTTCCAGTTTGCACAATAGCATCATTCTGTTTATAAAATACAGACAGATAGATAATAAGGAATTTTTATTTTTTTATTTTGTGAGCATTTCCTGTTAGAAAACTGCTAATGGAATTTGATGTTTAAATATGTAATGTACAAACACCCTGAGTACAACCTCATTGCTTTCCCAAATTCAAGCAATATTAAAAAAAAGACAGCAAACCAGAAAGCAATAGTTTATTATATGTCAAACACACCTCCCTTATGATGATTATCCGAAAACATGACAAGGACTTGTTGTCTTTGTGTTTTCTCTTGATGATCTGCCATAACTGTTGCTGTGTCCGCTGTTTGCTGCGACTGAGACCTTGAGAAGTCTCTAGTCCTACCTTTGGGTTTTTGTCCATACTGCACTGGTGTAAATAACCTGAAAATTAACAAATCATCTTTCTACTCATACAAAAAACATACATGAGGAAGTTGTTAATCCTTTCATCCTAATACAAAAATCAAGGTAAAAAGCAAATAGTTATTTTTAGTCAGTAACCTGAGCTAGAAGGGGTACCCAGCTGCAGAGCATTTGGCAGGAGGGATTCTGCTTCTCTCAACACACAGAAGAAACACAATATACTGTAAAAGGCAAGTACACCAAATTCTCTAAGTCTCCAGTCTTCTCTGAAAGATTACATGAAGGGGTACAAGCATGACAGATCCCCCATATTCCTTAATCATCTTTGGAGTCTAAAGACAGCAAAAAAACTCCCCAAAATATGCTAATAAGGATCAAACTTCTTAATGGAGCAAAGTCTTAAGAATGGCTAGGTACAATATAAGTGCAAAAAGCAGGGGATCCCTACTTCCATGCATCTTCACGCTGTCTGGTTTTAAACACATCCTGCAATTGTAAAAGCTGACTTCACAACAATCATTCTGTGTATACTACTGGGAAACTAAAGATGTCTAAACAGCAAAAGAATAAATTCTTTTTCTGCTTTCCATATATATTTTAGCTATTGCTTCTAGTTCTTAAATTTTGTTAACCGACAAAGCTTCCTTCTGCAGAAGTGCCTAACAGAACTAGCGCTGGACATCCTCCTTGTCACCTGTTACACATGCTGTCTTGGGCTTCCATAACCATGCTGTGCTCTTATCAGGTTAATTTATTGTAAAATGTTTAAGCCTACATTGCTCTACAGCAGAATTACATTCACGCCAAGACTCAAAAATGAACCCTCCCAACTGCTCTTCAGAAATAAGAGTCAATAGCAAAATAAAAAAGTTCAAAATTTAACAGAACACCTTTTTTTCTTCTCCTCCCACCACTCCAAAAAGAAAACCCCAATATTTCTTTAAGTTCTTTGTAAGCACATCTTAGACTTAAAATTAACTAAAGGGAGAAGATTTAATTATTCTGCTTAGGAAACTACTGCAGAAGTCACTTCCACTGTTTGATCACACACAGCAGATTTTAACTCACTTGAGTTTGGCAGGAAATATCACAACTAAGCCTTTGTAAATGAAAACAACTATTAACTGCTAAAAAGCAGTCTGCTTTCCCTCAGAAGACTGGCATACAGTCTTTAGCAGTGATGAGTTTGGAAACAAAAGATAGCAAGAAACACAAATGCTTCTGAATGACCCCTCTGGGCTCTCACAAATACTACTCATTTTCACCTGTTACCTAAAATCAAGCAATCAATCACTGGAACACTGCATACCTATTTGGTTTGAGCTTCACTGGCTCAAGTCTGGGTGATGAAGGAGAACAGTAGATCTCTTCAATAAGCTTCCTAGTTACCTTCAGTTTTGGCAGTAGTTGTGCTTCATAGCAAGTAATTTGGTTTTCCATCCCAATCACATCAAAGAGAGACCAGTCTGCATGCTTAAGTTATAAAAGAAACAACCTAAAGAAATATTCTACTACTATTCAGTTGCCATAAAACAAAAAAGAACAAAAAAAAAATAGTAGTAATAATACCACATTATCTGAGAATGATTAAAAAGCTCACAGCTGATGCCAGAATTAAACCAAAATGTGGAAGAGCCAAGTGTCATGTGATTTTGCAGAGAGCAGCTGCTGTTACTTTAAAAGGTTTCAACAACCTACACCATGAAAATAGAGCATTATGCTCATGTTACCAAGAGCCAAAACCAGGACAGCACCCTGAAATTACAAGCTCTGCAGTTAAGTCAATGCTTGTAACTAATACATTTGTCTTATTCATTCCAGACTCATCCATTCCCACCTTGATGTATTAACCCTACTTCCTTCACAAGCCTTTGACACTCACCCTGTCCCCCCACCCATACCAGCGGGCTTAAAGGAGTAACTATTTTAATTTCCCGGGACACCCAATGCTATTCTTTTAGCTTTGTCCAGTCTTTCTTAAGCCTCTAGTATTCCTGAAATCACTAGAAAAAAATGCATGAAATCGCTTGCAATATAACTTTAACAAACAGACTATAGTTAAAACTAAACTGCTGAATCTGATGCAGCTTCTCATCCCCAGAGCCGTACGCAGCTTAACTATGCCCTTACTACTCCTCAGGCCAGGACAAAAATGACACCTTTCCCTTGATTTTAAGACCCATCCATTTAGGTTAATTGGGAACTTTAAGCAAAACTAGAAAATGTTGCAAAATAGTCTGACCTTTTTTGACAAGGATAGCAAATTCCCAGCACACCTAAATTCAGTACTACCATAAAGTCAGTGGTTATTATTTATAGTCTTAGCAGTTGCTTCTAAAAATAAATGGATTAGCAATTCAGATTTTGAAATTTAATTGGAACCTGAATTACGTGTAAGAAATTTTATGTCATAAGCCACCTGCTCTCCCAGTCAAATCAAGTTAAGTACAAGAGAATTACTTCCCTACTCACCTTCCAAAGATCCCGTCCTAACACATTCAGCACAAGGGAAGCAGTTGTAAACTCCAGCTTGTCTAATACACAGGAAGAACTTGGAAGCCGGGGACTGATCAGATCAGGATGATTGCACACCATGAGCAGCTGTGTCAGAATATGGAGGACACTGACAAAGTGCCCACTTCTAAGACATTCTTGAGTTCTGTTATTCAAAATGAAAATTTAATTTAAGTTATCTTTTAAACCCAGTGCTTTTTGGCAGCTTAGGTCTTTCTGCACACACAAACTGTTTTTCTGAATAAATCTAGTAACACCAAGGTATCAATCTTAGAATATGGGTTTAAAAACACAGTCTTCCATTCCTCCAGCTTCTTTCACATTCACACAGACTTTTAATAATTCATAAAATGTATTCTGATTTTAAAACTCAAATTATCATAAATGTGAATTTCTCAAATAGCCACTGTATTTCAAATGGAAATTACATCAGATAATGTATGAAGAACATTGTCAATATTAAGGCCTTTTTTTAACATCTGAATAAATACCACTTTAAATTATGAAATTCATTGACAAATAGAAACTAGACAGATCAGAAAAGCAAAGTAACATAGAACCTATATTCAGTTCCTAATTAACTTAAGAATTAAATGTAGACAAAAACTGTGACTCATGGTCAACTGTCTAAGTTATAAATATTTTGTCCCATATGTAGTTTATCCCATAATCTGCAAATACTGTTTATTTATGCTTCTTTTCACCTTGTAAAACAACTAGATATAAATAAACAAACAGAGGATGAAGAAATGGCTGAATGCAATGAATGCAATTACTGCTTAGTGTAGAAGATGATTAGGCTGCTCAGCACTATGATTTTGCCAATCTGCTTTAATCTTTAGGTTTGCCCATGACTCGCTTAGAAATAACACCCCAGCAAACAAGCGCTCTTGCTGTAACTGGAATAATTCCTAACTTTAATGACGAATGAACATTTAAGAACTACTCAACAGATGTACCTTGGTTGAGACAAGATGTCTTTATACATTGACTTCTGCCGATTAGAAAGAGCACATGTAAGTACATGCTCATATTTCCTTGGTAACTGCTTTTCAACATCAGTTTTGGACCTCCGCAAAATAAATGACTGCACTACCTAAAAGAATACAACACAGTGATTTCCTAATTGCATTTCCTCAGAGAAAGAAATGTAAGACACCATCCTCAAGGGAGACGTACTCTCTGCAGTTTCACTGCAACTCGCTGGTAATGATCTTCATTCCCCTGCACAGATGCTACCTTTGTGCAATCCAGATAGGATTGGGAAATCCCTGGAATCAGGAAACAGGCAATAGCCCACAGATCTTTTAAAACAGTAGGCAGAAGCATATCCATCAAGAGTAAACGATGATGACTGTAAACAATGAAGATAACAATTAAGGTAAAATATATTTCATAATAAAATTACATCACAAGCAAGCAAATTTAAAAACCTGCAGTGCCGAAGTTATTTCAGACAGTAACTGATAGACAAAAGCAAAAAGAAAAATTTGAATGAATGCTTCAGACCTCTGCAGATTGAATATTGCATCCCAGTGCTTCTCTGTCAGATTATTACCATTCTGCCTCTCATCTAAAACTAGGTACCTCCATTGTACTTTCATGAATGCTTCATAGTCTTTAAAGAATTGCTTGCAGGAGGTAATGCATACATTAAAGTTGTTGGGGCCAGTCCATTCCTGCAACATAAAAACACAAAAATCCTAAAGGTTCTTCTGATGGCTTTCAGGGCAAAGATTAAGTGTTTCCTCCTCTGGGATTAAAATAGATTATCTTGTACTTTATCACAGTGCAGTTCTTTAGAGCTTTCAAAATCCCCAAAGAGAAGAGAATGCTCAGTTTAATTCTCTGGTTGTGATATTTGAAACATTATACAAAACATCCTTAACAGAAAATGTAGGGTTTTTTAAAGAAAAAGCTTTTCCTACAAAACACAGTAGACCAAGTTTCCTAGCCATCCAAAAACAATTGGCAGTGAAAAGCCATCTTTCCTTATACATTTTTAAATTGTTCCTTGAAGAGTTCAAACATTTCAGAATATTTATACTTGTTGCTAAAGGTTATCAATAGCATTCATACTTACTGGATTAATTCTAATCTCTAAAATTCATGTGTGTCAATCTTTAGGTAAATTCTACCTGAAAGTATCAAAATTTTTATGGACTTGATCACAGAAGCTGTCAAATGTGTGAACTAACATCCTAATATTTACTTTCAAAGGCAAATAAAAAATTAGAAACACAAAACACAGAGTTAAAATTACAAGAAAGGAAGGAAAAGTTACAGAACTAAAGGAATAAATACGCTCAAAGCTATGACAATTTCATTAATTTTCTTCTGCTCTGCCTGGGTCACAAGGCAAGAAAAGTTAATACATGATTTATATGGCCCAGTTCTACAAACATAAGAGAGAAGTGAAAAATTGCTAGTAAATCTAAGATTATATGAAGGACTCCAACATGGAAAGAAATTGAAAACTATCTGAAAAAGACACATCAACACAAAAGGAGGGACAAAAGTTGTATGTTGTAAAAGCATTAATGGAGAAACCTAACAAATTCCTTGTTACTATGGAAGTTGAAAATATGAAAATTAGAGGGAAAAAAAAAAACCTGCAGCAGCATATTTTGCAAATAAGTTTAATGAAATTTTGAAGCCTGAAAACACATACGTGTCTTCTAAACTACAAAATAAACACCAAACTTCCTGTTGCTTCTTCTGGATTACACATCAATTCCTCATTAAAAAAAAAAAAAAAAAAAAAAAGGCTAAATACAATGTCTTTTCTTAATAAACCTGTGCAAACACTAAGATGAGGTACAAGTCACTGGATCAAAGATGTGAGTTTCCCCATACAGAGATTAGGTACTAGGCAAAAATATCTGTGCAAAGGACATCATGCCAGTAAGTACATACACACAACTCAAAAAGGCTAGCCAGACATCGCTGGTCATTAAAACATTTTATTGGTAAATATCAAACTCTGCTTATGAACTAGCATTCATGAAATGAGGAAATATCTTCAGTCTTCCAGTATGCTACATAACAAAAGAGAAAAGATCCAGGTTGTGATATCACTATACTGAAGTTTTTAACCACAATGGTATAAGCATGACTCAGGCTGATATTTTCTTTCTGTGTAATGCTTATGTTACCCAGTATGTGTGCAGATGAAACAATGTTCCACAATACCTGACTTTTTAAAAAAAGTTCTCCTGGGTTCCCAAGATACAGAAGAATTTTCAAAGCTGGACACCAGCGTTTCAGTTCAATCTCCCACTTCAGCACGCTAAAGTTTTGTGAAACAACAAGAATAGGACCCCAGTTACCTATAGAGATAAAAGTACAGCATGACTGAAAATGACTGCTTATCACTTCAGAACTTAGAAGAAAAGGCAACTGTGTATATACAAACAACTAACAAAGAAAGGAATTGTGTATCCTTTTTTATAACATTTATTCCAGGTACATTTCTTTAAATTACAGATATTAAAAGCAATTCTTTTTTTTTTTTTCCTCTTACTGAAAACACATTCACTAATGAATTGTTAAAAATATAGATTTATAAAATAAAAAATCTACAATATTTCCTACCTTCATTACATGCCAGGTGTGCAAAAAAAGCAACAACTTGCACTGTTTTTCCAAGTCCAGCTTCATCAGCCAGAATGCCATTGAGATTCATCTTATACAGCTTTGCCAACCACTCCAATCCAGTCTTTTGATAATCTCTGAGAGCGCCACGTAGTAAGGAGAGCGTACCACTTTTTACTACTGTTGTGATTTGAGCACTGTCTTTGGGTAACAATGCTTCTGCAGCAGCAGCAACATCAGCTAAATCTGCCATGTATTTCTCCACAGTAGATGGGAGAAGATCTGGAAGTACCACTTCCTTCTGAAGGCTATCTTCCGTATTCAAAGAGTCTCTTATTTCTGCACAAAATAATAAAAATCATGATGCTGTCATGTCTGAGACTAATAATTCATTAACAGATTTGATGTCATTCACAGCTAATCCAGGGTCTAAAGAACGTAAGGATTCTACACTACAAGAATACTCTTTGTTGAACTTGACTACAGAAACAAGGGCAAACTGCAGTGGGACACAGGTGCACACATGATAGTTTTAGTGAATTCAGTCTCATGCATGGCCCCCAAGGGACATAAGACTAAACCCTGACACAAATGAGCTCAGCAACAAAAAGTCTTTACAGTGTATTTAGCAAAGCTTTAGTAAGCTACAGGAAGTTAGCAAGCTAGAGAAAGGAGATATTTATGACTCAAAACTAAGACCAAAATAGTAGCTCGTAAACATTTCTTTTGGTAAGCTTATACTACTACTGTCAGTATACAAAAGAAAAAAAAAAAAAAAAAGCCATGCAAAAAAAAAAGTCTTAGGTTCTTATTACCTTTTTTTGAGGTGTTCTGTGAGTTTAATGCTTTCTTCCTCCTCTCTTCTAACTCTACTTGCATTTTCAAATGTACTACCTAAAATGGAGAGAGTGGTGGGGAAAGAACAGAAGGAAATGACAAACATGAATGCAGTTAGCTTCAAATACAGCTATGAATTACTTAACATTTATTTAACAATAACACAGGCATCAGACATGGCTACAATGCAGAGCACTCAAAGAAAAATATGGTATGTACAAAACTGACCGTGAATAGAAGTCATGCACATAACAAGAGAGAGCTACCCAAGAATAACTCACATCAAAATTTAAACATCCACAGCAAGCCAACTTCTCAAACTAGGATTAGTGGAGCACTCTCCGTGACGTATAAAGGCCTGAAATTATTCATACAACCATAACATGAAACTATCTTTACCAACAGATAATACTCACCACGTGGACTGAGCAAAGTTCAGTTGTAAGGTTCTCACTGTTATGGTCTGATAGGTTTTTATTCATCAAATCTTTAGATTATTTTTTTCCTTTTTTTTTTACATTTACCTGTTTAATGGTAGACCAAAAATGTTCAATTTCTCTAGCAGTAAAAGCAGCAACAGCCCTCAGTTTCTTCTCCTCTCTTTTCTTGCATGTTTCCTTATGAAGTATCATATCATTGTGATGACAAGCCACGCTTAAAATGAGCTGAATAAAACCGTAAAAAAAAAAAGTTTTTACTCTGTTCTATCTAAAAAGCATACTTCTAAAGAAAGAAAAAAAAAATATAATCCATTTAGGATTGCTGCCTAAACTTTACAAACACAGTGGAGAGGCAAACCAGAACTCATACATCCTCAGTGATCATGTCCTAACCATGAAAATGCTGCCTATTCTTCCCCCCTTTTCTGGTTGAAAATATAAAATTCATATTACTCTCTTGGCAGTTATCATCTTCCATCTCCTTTCTTGAACAAAATCAGTTGCCATCCACTGCATTTCTTCCAAAAGATAATCATGGTGTGATTTGTGCCGTGGGGTCTCTTGGAGTTTGGGCAAACGTTTTAGAGACCATAAACCTTCTTTCCTCAGTGCTGTTATCCTCTGCAGAATTTCATTTTCCTTCAAGTAAACATAATTAAACTTAAGTTTCCTACTGCAGAACATTAAAACAAGACAGAGACACAGTGAAAAATACTACATGAATAAAAAATGTAAATGATTATTTAGTCTTTGGAAACATTCTATGCTTTCTATAGTTTCTCTTAATTAAAAGATAATGAGTAACACATCTGCAGATTTATGTGAAGTCTCTGAAGGACTTTGTGATGCAGTGGTATAATGTAAAATCAGTAGAGAAGTTTGGGATGCAGTGTATTCAGTCTTGAGAACTTCATTTTTTTCCTCCTAAAATATAGTACCTCTAGATCTCATCAGAAGAGCCTGGTTGATTCAGTGAGAGTTTTCGGGGAATTGAGATGCTCTGCCAGATGGCAGGTGGATGGTGTTCTCTAAAAAGTTCATATAAAAATATCTTTAGTTTATTAACACATCTAAGCATCCTGCAACGGCTGGCAAGTAAGCACAAGCAGCACAAATTTTCATTGTGATTCCTCTCTCCTTATTCTAAATATGTTGCATAAAAAGTTAAAATAATTGATTCAGTTTAATTAAATCTCCTTCTAGGATTTCATTACAAGAACAAATTCTACTTCCACAGAGAACCTGCCTGATTCCTACTCATTCCTTTTCTTTCTTCAAGAAAAATCATAAGGCATGTCTACACCACTAATTAAAACCAGAAGAGATATACAGCTATCTACAGAGCATTCTAAATTTAAATGAACACAAAGTTTTATTGTAAAGAACGATTTATACCCTGCTAAGCTATACAACAGCTATCTGAAGCAAATTATTAGTGCTCAGTAAAGTATTTTGCAAAAACTACCGAAATTATTTGCTCCTTTCTCCCAAGGTTGAAGTAATAAATTCTGTCACCCACAAAATCTCAATACAAAACACAAAGGACAGCACTGCCAGGACACAGTGAGAGGTTAGCATGCTGTTCCCTCTCGCTGCACCTTGTAATTTACTTAACTGCAACCTTCCACACGTCTGAAATTTACTTTCAAGCATTAAATGAATTTGATTCAATGAAAATGAAAATCCAGCACAATAATATTTAAATGAAAGTTGGGTAGACATCGCAGATGACATAAATGAACATCTATGTTCTTCACAGAAGTAAAACTTCAAGGGAAAGTAGTGGTAAAGTGCCAAAAATTAATCTTGTCTAGACTTCCTTAATAAGACAGATGTTACCGCTCTGTTTTTGGGGATACTCTCTCCCCAGCATTCAGACAGATTATTTAATGGTGCAGAATAGATGACAACAGCAATTAGAATGCACAAAAAAACAGCCATACAAAGCCGCGTACAATATAATATGCAAATCTGATACCTGTTGTTGTATGGGAACTGGAGTTGGGACCAAAATCACATGCTTCTTATCACGGCCTGCTGGTTGCACCTGCTGAAGAAAAGCTGAATTCCTGCCGTGTGGAGGAGGTAAGGAACTATGCAAACTTGACAAGTGTGGTCCATTTTGCTGTTGATTTTGCTCATGGCTAATCTGTTGAGCCACTTGAGGAACAGGAGGCATTCCACCTGAAGAGAAACTTAAAAATTGCAATTTCAGAAATTAAAATAGTGGAATATAAAAAACGAACCAAAGAAAGTGGCAATACAAACTGTTATAAAGTTGATCAAATCAACTTTCTACCATACCACAATACAACTGCATACCTAAAAGCTATGAAGATGCAAATCGATCAGCACACTATTCTAGAATGTACTTACCTGCTCTTTAACCTGACAACAGGAAGATCTTTTTTAACAACACCCTACAGAGAAGTGATAGCTAGGCAACCAATCTCTATCAGGGTATCAAATGACCAAAAAGGAAAAATTTCATGCAACATCAATTAACGAAAACAACAAATTAGGCACAGAGGGTACAAATTTAAGCCCAATGCATGGAAAATGAGATGTGCAGTGCTCACTAAGATTTCTAAGATTTTCTCCAGAGGGTTTTTAAATTGTATAATAATTGGTATTAGATATAATGTTACAATTACAGAAAATCTCATTAAAGCAATTATCTTTAATGACAAAGCTTAAAACTTACACTTGATCGTAAATATTTTATCATAAATCATTAATATATGTACTAGAAGTATCAGCGTTAATTTAAGGGTTGTGATTTTTTTTTAAACTGTTATCAAAACCAATTATGTGTCTCTATGTGAAGTGCTATTTCGGAACTAAAATAAAGTTAACCTAATAAAGTATCTCATTATCTATAAAACCGTGCATGGGTCTTCCACTTTCAAAGCTCTATCCACATTTACCTTTGATTTTACTTTTACATTCTCTTTATTTTGCTATTAAATGGTTTTTATGGTCACAGAATTGCTTCCTGCCCAACTTTTATAAGGAGAGTTCATCTCAGTGGTCATTGACCTCTTAACTCAATTTAACTACTTGAATTCTTTATCATTCCAGTAGACTTATTCAGTCACTTTATTTCTAGCGGTCAGACACAGAGGATTCCTGCAGCACACACTGAGTCTTGGCTGGGTACATTTGAACTTTGAAGGCGACACAGAGGGTCAGTGGGCGCTTTAGGCTTTCTGCAGCACAGGGACTCGTGGGCCCAGCGCCGCAGTCAGCGTGGAGATGGAGCGAGGCCGGTGCTCTCACCCCGGGTCACGCACCGGAGATGGTGGAAGCTGTAACAACAGGGAGATGCCTGGCATCACCCATGCAGCTCCCAGCGCTCTCATTTCATAAAGTGCACAAAACGATCTCTCGTTTCTGTTCGAGGGACAGAATGATTTATCCTGTAAGTCCATTACAGCCACGGATGCCATTAATGCAAACCAAGCTGGGGTTTAAATGCTGCCTTGAAAACGTGGTAATGCCTGCAGTACTACTGGCCAGGCTGTGAAGCATTAGTGCAGAGACAAAGTTACCTGAACGCACAAAGGCAACGCATCATCAAGCCCCCTCTGCTGCAAGATACACCAGAAACCCACCGGTGCCAGCGGCGCGGGCCGCGTTACCTGCAGCTTCCCTGACAGCGACCTCCCAGCCGGCTGCGACGGCTCCCGGCTGGCCCCGCACCCCGCCACGGAGGGGCTGCGGTACGCCAGGTGGGAAGGGGGCAGCTGACTTAACGCCCTCCATCTTCCAGGAAAGAGGAAAAGAAGTCTGCAGCGCCCAGCTCAGCAGCCGCGGCTCGGCCTCCGGGCGCGCAGAGGGAGCCGGGGAGGGCCCTCCCTCAGCCGCCTCAGACAGCCCGCACCGCCCCCCGCCCTCGCCCACCTCTCAAACCACCTGATGCCCCGCTCCCCAGCACCGGCACAGACCTGAGCCGCCGCCCGCAGCCCCCGCCCACCTCCCACACCCCTCGGGGTCCCGGCTCCCGGGGTCCCGGGGTCCCGGCTCCCGCTGTACCGGGATCCCGCGCCCCGGTCCCCACCCGCGCGGCCGCGCACAGCGCACCGCAGCGCCCCCTGACGGCCGCGGCGGCAGCCGGCCCTCGCCCCATCCCCTCCGCCGGCCCCGCCCCTGCACGGAGCCGTACCATTTCCCTCCCACCTGGGGGGGGGGGAGGGGGGAGGAGGCGGGCACCCCACCCCCTGACGGTCCCACCCGCAGGGAGGGGAGGAGCCGCCGCGCCCGGCGCATGCGCGAAGGGCGAGTGGTGCGGGCCGCAGGAGGGTCGCCACGTCCCCTGAAGCAGCCTGTCCCCTCAGGGCGGGCCGCGGCTCAGAGCCCCAGGCAGGGTCAGCGGTGAGGACGATCCGAAGGCCGGCACCGGGAAGGGGCCGGCACCGGGAAGGGGCCGGCACCGGGAAGGGGCCGGCACCGGGAAGGGGCCGGCACCGGGAAGGGGCCGGCACCGGGAAGGGGCCGGCACCGGGAAGGGGCCGGCACCGGGAAGGGGCCGGCACCGGGAAGGGGCCGGCACCGGGAAGGGGCCGGCACCGGGAAGGGGCCGGCACCGGGAAGGGGCCGGCACCGGGAAGGGGCCGGCACCGGGAAGGGGCCGGCACCGGGAAGGGGCCGGCACCGGGAAGGGGCCGGCACCGGGAAGGGGCCGGCACCGGGAAGGGGCCGGCACCGGGAAGGGGCCGGCACCGGGAAGGGGCCGGCACCGGGAAGGGGCCGGCACCGGGAAGGGGCCGGCACCGGGAAGGGGCCGGCACCGGGAAGGGGCCGGCACCGGGAAGGGGCCGGCACCGGGAAGGGGCCGGCACCGGGAAGGGGCCGGCACCGGGAAGGGGCCGGCACCGCCGGGCTCGGGAGCAAACGGGCACCTTGCAGCCCGCCACGACAGCCTTCCAGATCTCGCACAGCGTGCAGCCTGCCTTTTCTTCCCCCTAACACAGCACAGGCTTGCACCCTTTCAAAGAGTCCATCTTAGAATTTTGACCATTTGCGTATTTTTTAAAATATTTTTATTCAGCTCCTGCATTGAAACCAGAGCTGAAATACCAAATTAATAATCCCCATGAAATAAAAAAAAAAAGCACGCATACCAAGAGGTAAGAAATATCCTTTTTTTATTTATTATTATTGTTTTGTTTTCAAATGCTATAAATAGAAGTTCTCGTTGATTTCAACTGAGATATATTTCTGTTTTGGGACCTTAATTATAAGCAAATAAAGGTGTTTTTTTGTTTTTTGTTTTTTTTTTTTTTCCCCCAGATTGAATACAGGCAGAAAGATAGAGCTTTGGATAGAAGACTAATGCAGATTAGGTCAATAGTATGAACCAGCAAGGGACAGAAATGAAAACTTAGGTACCGAGTCCCTCTCCAGAACACTTTTACACACTTGCTCTCATAAAATAGAGCAAGGCCTTCACAATAAAGTACAAGGCTCTAATTAAAACCCTGATAAAGTAAAACAAACAAATCCCTTTTAAAGGTTAGCTGTGCTTTGGCAAAAAAAAAAAAAAAAAAAGTAATTCCAGAAGAAGCCTGGAGGCTTTGGCCAGAAACCACTGAATGAAGAGCAAAGAGTTGACAATGCATTTTCAGTAACTACCATATTACAAAGCTAGTCTCCATACAGACCCAGCTAGAGAAGCATAACAAACGCTTGTACTAATACCCAAATGCCTGGAGAGTCTCATTCCACCCATTCCAAGAGTGTTCTACAGACAGAGATGACAGCAGGGCTGCTGCCTTTACTTGTTTTTTCTTCCACCACCTTCACAGAGAGTTGGAAACAAGAACCAGAAGTCAAACCACAGTTGGGGAAAGGAGAGAAGGAACTCCAGAGTACGCAGGTCCCCAGAACACAGAAAATTAAAATCAATTCCTAAAGGAAGTCTGTCCTCAGACATGTGCTTCCCACATCATTGCACACATTCCTCTATTCTGAGCAGCTTGATGGGGATTAAGAGTTCACACACACAAAGTGAATGCAGACTTGATTAAAGCCCAGAGGAAGTCAGCACCATTCCTTTCACACATGCTAAGTTGATTCAACCTGAATCCAGCAGACGGCTAGAGAGTTTCCACTAAAAACAGAAATACTAAACCAACAGCAACACATACAGTGATCCACCACGGGCAACACTAGAATGTTCACAGCTGCACACTTTGAATTGCAGTCCTAACAATTAATTTACATCTCCTCACATCTCAACTACAGGTGTATGAAACAACACTTCAGGCAGTAAAGGCCCAATTACACAAGTAGCTATGGATATATATTTTTAAGTCTGCCCAAGCACACGGGCAATACTTGGAGGATGACATCTCCCAAGGAAAAGGTCTCATCTTGAAATATGTGGTTCAGCCCACATTCCAAAATTAAGACCTCTCACTGAGTAAGAAATCACTTTTTAGACTTGAAAAGCTTTAGAAAACACAGAAATTTTGTTTTGATACCAAAAGAATGCACAGCAGTCAGTATGATAATGAGTTCCTAACTCATGCATGTTATTCCACAGGAAAGTCATAGATGCCATGGAAAATAAAAACTTAATGGTGTTTAGAGATCCAATTAAGTAAAAGGTGGAGAATATAACAATAATAAAAAAAATATCAAAAGTTCATGGAGTCATAGCTTCATTATAATAATCAAAAATGAGCATAATAAAACATTTTGCCCCATCTTTATGTAGAGATTATACATATTTAAAGTACTAGTTTCCAGGTAAACATGTAATAAAAACATTATTCAAATAGCAATTAAGACATCCCGCATTGCAAGATTATTTTCGAAAGCTTCTTTCTTGTTATACTATTTTCAAGTATACCAGTCAGGTGAATCAGTCAGTGGTATAAAATGCTGCTTCTACTTTTTCTGCTACACTGTTTTCCCCACCCAGTTTCTCCTGGGCATCCAGTTCTTGTTCTGCAAGCACACAAACCCCTGATTTACTGGGTTCTTGGATTTAGAAAGGCCACTTTTTTGTAGACAAAGGGAAATGCAAGCAGTAAGGGTCCCACGTCCAGCCACTTACTGGCTCAGTCGGAATCATCATCACAACCATCACTGCCTTCGAGATCGCTGTTGTTCTGTGAAGTAAATTGGAAAACGGTTTGTCAGTATTTCATTTACATCTAGAGACTGACCTAAATCAAAGCCATTGACTTTAAACTTCTCTAAAAGTGTAAGAAAACTGAGCTAGATCCCAATTTTGTATCTTAGATCCATCTATTGTGACAAACTTCTGTGATGGTAAAGGACACTTATTGCAAAACAACTGTACATTGGATTACACTCACCAGCAGAAGAAATTTCTTTTCACTTATATTTACAACTGCATGATTACCACCTGCAGGATGTGGGAAACTTAAAAGTGGAGTAATAGCATGAAATGCTGATGTTTAAAATAAATGCAGTTAAGACAAGTTAACAAGTGCTTTTTTCATGCAAGTCCCTCAAAAACTAAGTCTGTTATGTTGTCTAAAGCCAGAATTGAGAATTTTGTTTGTCTGCTGCAGAGAATTTATGTCTAAACTGTATTAGAGATATGCAAGGGCTCACTAATACCTGATTAAAAATTAAGTCGGTTGTACAAAGTAGCATTATGGAAATAATACAAATGTTAGCAACTTACAGGAAAACTGGAGTCTGAGTTCTTAACTGGGAGCCACTCCTTCAGGACTAAGTCAATATGGTATGATAAATTTGGTGCATTTATATAATTTTTTGAAGCAAGTATTTTGACTGATATGATTGGCACCAAAGGATTTTGTGAAGAAAGGCTAACATGACAAGATGCCTGTAGTTACTCCTTTTTTTCCCCTCACCACCACTTGCTGAAAACATATAAACCTCCAAATCCTATGAATTTAACATTGACAATTTAATATCCTACTACAAAACAAATTCTGAGAGACTCAGACAGTTGCCTTCGTAACAGCAAGCACAGCTCATTGAAGTGCAAACAGCCTGCAAAATCTCAAAGGAGCCTGTCATATCATCCCTTATTTATCCTTTTCCAGACAGCTCATGCTAACTATGATACCAAAACTGTATTTGGTCGAGTTTATCTAAAGCAAGCAGACCTGACTCCTGCTAGCAATACATCAGTGATTTTGAACCTGTCAGCAGTAAGTCCTGTCAAAATTATCGTCAAGACCCCTGAGCCACGAAAGGACTCTCTGCACTACATGGTCTCTTTAGGTCCCATTTAACCAAACCAATGTGGCATTTGTCATAACCTCCTGTCACAGATATCCTCCTATAGCACTATACTTCAGAAAAACAATTACCACAAGTACAAAAATAACCCTGAGAAATTTCTGGTATCTTGCTTGTACTATTCAACGAGGCTGTAAATTTTATTTTATATGTTGAAAGTATTTCTCATACTCAAAAAAAAAAAAAAAAAGGCAGAGTCAGGATTAAACCTAATGTTCTTCAGAACAGGATCATTATTGACACAAAATAAAGTTAATTTTAATGACTCCATTAAGTGAAAAAAGGTCATTATTTTCTTCTGAGTTGCACCACACAGAAGTTTTAGCCCTGCCCATCATGTGTCCTTCAAGGATTTGACAGCCCTCTGACCAAGAAAATTAGAATTACATACAGAACTGTTAGGTATCTTTAGGTCATCAAGTTCAACCGCCTGGCAAGGAGGGCTTGCTTGAATGTTAGATTGGGTTGATCGGGGACTTGTCCAATCAAACACTTGCATTTTAAGTCAATCCAGGGACTGTCAATTTAAAGAAATACTTTGTGAGTTTGATTCAAGCTGCCTCATGTGGTTTCCAACCTACTCCCAGCATGCCCCAAACATCTTTCCACTCTTTTATTGTGAGGCTATTCTACATCTCAACCAGAAAAAAAAAAAAAAAAAAAAAAAAAAAAACCACAAAACCAAACCTTTACCTTGAACTGTAATTTTCTTTTGGTTAAAAATATATTCTACACCTTTGTTTTATTGCAACTTATAGCTGACAGTAGTTCCTGTTGTCAGAATTCAGACTCTGTAATATCCCATTTTAACCAGTAGGAGTTGTTCTGATGACCCATTTTGAGCTCACAGCAGATTTACTGGTCCTAAATTTTGCCCCCGATTCCAACCTTATCTAGTAAACAGAGCATTACACAAAACGAGAATTAGCCCAAAATCAAAGAATACAAAGAGCCAGCAGTTATTTAAAGGGAAACTGTCAACCTGAAAACTAGTCTCTCAAACAGTTTCACAATAGCAAAGGCTGGCAATGCATCCACAGTTTTTATTGCCAGTTTATGATTCTGCAAATTGGCCTGTGCTTGAAAGCATTCCCTCCTTCCTCCCTCCCTCAATTGCCCCATGCAAAACCCTGCAAAAATAACACTTTGTATTGTTCATTCCACTACCAAGTGCACAAAGATGGAAAAGATAATACACATTCCATGCTCCAGATGACTGTCACCTTCCAGGGCATACTGAAGAAAAACAAAAGCGTTACTAAAGAGCCACTTCAACTCGACAGCTTCCATTTGATAAAATAATGGCTTCAATCATTACCTTTGAATTTTTGTTGTTAGCTTGCATCCCAACAGCAGAAGAGTTGAAATCATGAATGGAGAGGGTGTTTAGCCAGTTTGCCATGGATTTCTCCTCCCTTTCTGTGTTGATAATGGTAGGATAGATATACTGCTCTTTGAAAACAGCAATCTTCTCCTCCTCCTCTGTCCACTCCAGTGGCTCGTGCAGCCCATCATTTCCAAAACGTCTGTTGTATTTTTCAAAGTGTACTCTTTCCAAGACCAGCCCGAGTCCTGGGGCTTTGGGGACATCTACTTTCTCCTCTCCCCAGCTGCGCTCTATGACAGACTCAGCAGCATAACCTTTCACAATAGCTATCACCAGCCCAATCATCTTCCTTATTTGGTGCATCATGAAACTCTGACCTTTCACTTTGATGACAGCAAACTCTATGTTCTCCCGCACAAACGGCTCTCCACAGTGCATCTCCATTATGTACCGCTTGGCACTGGGGTCCCTGGGTCCCTTCTGAGATGTGAAGTTGTGGAAGTTGTGTGTTCCTTTATAGCATGCAAGCAGTTTATTGACTTTTTCAAGGGTCTCTTTGTCCAGTCGATAAACGTCTTCTTGCACATTGTGGTCTTTATGGGCAAAGGCAAATGTTGGCAGCATGTAAGAGTAGGTTCTGGCATCACATTTGTTCTTGGAGTTGAATCCCCCAGTGACTCTCTTCAGACCTTGTTTTAAAAGTGACATTAGGTTTTTGAATCAATAGGTTGCAACCTGACTGTGATCTCGCTCTTACCAACGAGAATATTTTCTAAATACAATCTAAAGATAGATTTCTTTATAGGACCCTCAATTCAAACAAACAGAAACATACAGACTGATGTTAAAATTAAACTGCTTATGAGTAAAACTATAGTGGTAACAGAGAGACCTTCTTCAGAAAAAAACTCCTCTTTGAAAATATTTTCTCTGCCCATTCCAGTATCCTTACCCAGAATTCTGATGTGAGAAGGAAGATGGCTATTGATCTTTTCTAAGATGTCATCTATTAGCCTGACCTTCAGTGACACAATCTGTCCAGCTGCAGACACACCCTATGAAAACCATACAACACACAAACATGTAATTATGTACCTTCGAAGCTCTGGGATAGCACTTGCAGAATTGAAATAGCTGAAGAACAAGTTTATTCCTTTTTCTTACTGGTCATTTCAGGCTGCAGCGAGGCAAAGGCAAGGCCACAGGCAGAAATCCAAGTCAGAGTACTCCTGGAAGACCTGCTCGTGCTGTATAGCCATATAGCACCTTAGCAATATTAAACAGCAGAAGACTGCACTCCCTTCCATGATATCTCACTGTATTTGATTGCTATTAAGTAAAGCACCAACTAAAAACGAACTCCTTATACATAAGATCAGCCACGAACTCCAGTTCAGACTTCGAACCCCGCTGTGGCAGGCTTAAAAACAACTGGGACGCAGCTAAACTCTCAAGCACCGCATCAACCAGGCGGCAGCAACAATAAGGAGCAGCAGCAGCAGGTTGGCAGGCTGAAGCAAATGTGACAGAAACACAAAGTTTAGGTGTGAAGCACCAGCTTTACAAACAGCAACTAATCAATACCCTATGCTTACTAAATATTTGCTTGAGCTGAAGTTTAATAGGGGATGAAATGAGAAGTTTCAAGCAACATTCACTGCGAATAATATTTGCTATTGGATCTCACTCTAGACAATGCTTTACCAGTCAATCCCAGTAGCACTGGCAGGGGCACACCTGAGTTTATGAGAGCACAGGCCCTAACCAGCATACCTTATCTGTTCGAGCACACCGCTGAAAAGACATTTTCTTCATATCTTCCCCATGGTCTTCTGGGATGCAGCCTGACCGAACAAGGGCAGATACTAAGTCATCCTCAATTGTCTTGAACTGTGAAGATCCCACATTTCTCTAAAAGAGGATATATAGTAAAAATAAGAAACAGAACGAATGGTAACAATTGAGTAACTGAAGACAACGGAAAAGAATTGTTAATTGATCACTGTTGCAAAATTCTTTAAAAGTCTTCTCTTCACAGCCCTAAAAACACTGCCATTCTCTAGCAAGACTAACTATGTTTTACCAGAGAGTGTTAATAAAACTTCTATGTTCTGATTTACCTTTTACTGTTATTGAAAGTAATGGATCATTTCTAATTTCACTGTGCAGTAATTCTGCAATGGAGTTTTTTGCCGATTCCTTCAACTGCATGGAACAGCACCAATGAAATACTGTTCCAGTGCCTGCAAGTTCACAGCTGCTGCTCCAAACCTAGCCTCTGCAAATTCTGCTTCTTGAAATCAGATTAGGTTTTTTTTGCTCAGTTCACCTGAGCTGCTGTATAAAGCAGACTATGTTTTTCTGTAATGACTTCTGCACTCAACTCACAGATGAACTGTAACAGAAATGCACAACTCCACTCGTGCGTAAAGCTGCAAAGCACACGCTCTCCACATGTAGGAGAGCAGTAAAACCGACAGGCACTTACACGGATGCACCCACAAGCATATAAGGTTTACTGCTGTTGAACAAATCTGCTTTGTTGCATAAGGATTAAAGATTCCCTTCCCTATCTGCATGCAATCTTACCAATTATCCTGTGGAGCTTTTAAGGAAAAACTCAAGTGCATGCAGCTTGCAGTATGCCGAGAGGAGCAGCAGATGGAGCAACAACATCCTCTTGCTGCCAACACTGCGTGCCACAGGACCTTCCCTGCACCGGCAGGTCTGGTGCTGGGCACTGCTCCAGTGCTGGTGCTGTAACAAAGCAACACCCCTCTTGCAACAGTTTTGCTGTTTCTAAACTGCCACAAGCCACCCCATTAGAGTGCATCAGAAAAAGGAGAGTTTGAAATGTCTTCAGGTACAGATAATCTTTTTAAAAGTACAAGAGATGGCAACATAGATGCAAATTTATTTCATTCCAATACGCAGCTCCAGAATCTGCATGTAGTGAGACAACCTGATGTCTCACCAAAAATAAACTTAGTCCAACTGCTTCGCAATGCAAAGCTTCAAGCAGAAGCTGGAGCACTGGCCAGAAGGGGATTAATAGACAGTGCTTCAGGTTTTGACGGAACTGCAGTGCCCGTGCTTTTAGTCTCAAGAGCCTTGTCTGCAGCAGTTTTTGAAAGATCTTCTGCTGATGCTCTATATTAAAGGCAGACTCACTAGAATTATTAAATGTCAGAGATGTACCGCTTTTTAAATTCAAGTTACTACCAAGCCATTTGAATCCAGGCATGCACTCCTCCTGCCCCTGCTTTTCAAGCTGCAACTGCTTCCCTACTCAGTCATTATGACTACAGTTATAAACCTAACAGACTTCAAAAACAAGCAGGCCACACTGTTTTGCCAAACTACATACTTGCATCCCGTGGTAGCCTTTCCCTGAATATGCCATCAACAACACAATCTTCCTTTTGGGTGACTTTTTATTCTGATCGTCCACATCTTCCTCATCCACATCTCTCTTCAACCTTTTATTCTGATGTCCGTTTTCTCCCAGCCTTTCAACCACCTCTCTGCTGCTGTTCAGTCTCTTCGTCTGGCCGGCAACCGCTGCTCTCAAATCCTCAGCCATTGTGAGAACCTGCAAGGGACGGAACAGCGGACGGGACTCAGCAAGCAACGGCGGCAGAAAGCGACAGCTCCATCGCCCGGAGCAGCGGAGGGGGCACCCAGGGCTGATCAAGGAGCTGGGGGCGGGAGGGGCGCCCGCTCCCCGCTCGGCCGTGCCAGCTCCCCCGTGGCCGCCGCCATTCCCGGCGGGAGAAGGGCGGCCGGGCCGGCACATCCCGCCCCACACGACAGCCCGCAGCCCCGCAGCCGTGCCGGGGAGCCCGGCGGGGTGAGGAGGCTGCGAGTCGAGGCCGTTCCCGCCGCCCCCCCCCCCCCCCCCCCCGGGCCGGTACGCACGCTGCGCGGCCGGCGCCAGGGCCCGCCGCACGCCGCGCTCCCCGGGGCGGAGAGGCCGCAGCTCACGGCCCTCAGCCCCCACCGCAGCATGGCCGCCGAGCTCAGGCCGCGCCCGGGCGGCTCCGGGACGGGATTAGGGGGCAGAAGGGAGAAGCATCGGCCGCCGCCACCGGGCTCGGGCCCGGGCTCAGCCCCGGCCCCGCCGCTCCCGCCGCCGCCACTTACGCGGGCGCTGCGCAGCGCCGCCGCCGCGCGGGCGGGTGACGTGCCGCCGCAGGGCACGTAGGGGCGGGGCGGGGCGGCCACAGCCCGGGCCTGGCAGCGGGCCCTCACGGCGGCGCCGGCCTGCGCGGCAAACTGCGCTCCGGGCTCTGGGAAGGGGGTGGCGAGGTGACCCGAGGTTGGCTCGGGGGGCTCCAGCCCTGCCGCCTCCGGCTGCGGTAGTGCAGAGTAGGGGCATTCCCCCTGCTTAGTCGCGCCGGCCGCACACGGGCTCTCGGGGCCCAACACCTGCAAAAAGCCTGTCAAATTATTGAATCAGCTAAGAGCAGGGGAAAAGGCAACCTAGTGAATAAATTCCTGTGGTAAATACTAGATGTGGAAGGAAACCAGTCCATTTTCCCCTTAGAAACCCACCCAGAGAAGCTACAGCTACCAGCAGCGTTGCAGTCACAGTGGGATGAGGACAACAGGCGGGAGGAAACACCAGGTGACACCCAGGCCTGCCATTAAAAGCTGATCCTTTCCCAGAGGGATGTAACGTTGGCCCCTGTTTCCCCCTTTCCACGTAGCTTCTGCTTGTGCCAGTGTGAAGCACAAGCACCTACGGTTTCATTTTCCCCCCAGGTTTCGCTCCACAATTATTGCTTTCTCAAGCAATAATTATTGCTTTCTCAAGCAATAATTGTGCTCACATCTTCAGCGACAACTTTCATCCGCAGCGATGCATGTAATGGGAAAGCTGAGGACAATAGGCACCCTTATCAGGCGACAGCATGTACCTCCCGAAAAGCCAAATGCACCTGGAAGTTGTTTTGTTATGCTACAAGCTTCAGCGCTTTATAGGATGGAGCTACCCAGAGAGGACGTGGGTTCCCTGGCACATTGCGAGATTAGAGTAAAAGAGCTCCATTTATTCATTCAGATGGAAAATGGAAGGGTTGATGCTTCCAGGCAGGCCAGATTATCGAATTCAGGCTTGTTATTTCTGCTAATAAGGGAAGAAATGCAGCACGTCTTTTTTTTGAACTGACTTCTGAGTTATTTCAGTAGGGGGATGGGGCAAAGGGAAGACTTATCACACGGGCCCAGCTGCACTTTGTTTAGAGAAGTGATAAAAGGTCGCCTGTCACAGTGCAGCACTGCTGCCAAGGGAAACGGGAATACGAATTTCTCTATCACTTCAACAAGGGCGTCTGAATCCTTTTTTGCCTCATTTCCTTAGGAAGTGAAGCTTATGCAATCTCGCTGCCAGTCTGTCCACCACCACCACTTCCTTCTCCCTCCCTGCTGTGATTTCTGAATTTGTCTTGTTTCAGCTAAGTTTGAGAGAGGAGAGAAGGCCCCAGCTGATATGGACAACCAGCGGTGGGACAGGAGAAAGACTTACATGGGTATCCCATGAAGGAGAACGTTTCAGTATCCCAGACCCTTACCCATTCCAAGTGCAGCAAAGGACCTACAAAACGGGCAGCACAAGCTTTGCTCTCAACCTGCCACAGCATGTGCTGCGTCTTTCTTTTTAATTCATCTATTTTATCTTTTTAACCGGTCGCTACCAAAGGCAAGGAGAAATTAAAGTGACTTGCCAGCGCTGCTGCTGTCCATCAGGTCGGTGGGAGTTGGCACTGGGAAGGCAGACCCTCAGGGATGTGCATCTCGAGTGAAAAGACAGCAGAGACATGGCTGCAGTTTCTGGCATGGAGCAGAAGGTCCAATTGCAGATCACCGTGTGGGTTCTGCAAAGCCAATGCACTTGCTTGGATTTGATTTGCAACACACAGCGAGCACCTAACATCTTCAGGAATTAAATTAACAAGGGGTTTCATTCCTCTCACAGGCATACCCAGGATTAAATTGAATCGGTGCAAACAATCCGCAAAGTTCCCTGCTGTTTATGTGAGGAGCAGAACACTTCATACGTGTTTAATAGGAGTGATAAAATTAAAGTACGTTGAATGGTACATCTGCTCGGCCTTAAGTGAGAGTGCTGCCATCAAGTTTACTCGGCAGTGAAATCAGCCTCGTAAAAGCTGTCTAGGTACAATGGGATGTGAGGACTCATGGGCAATTACATCTTTGTTGAACAGCTAGCCAGCACGGGGAGCAAACTAGTTGCAGGACGGGGGTTCGAGCATAGGCGTGTTCTGGGGTGCATTGATTTTACTTTCATAATGACTTCGGTAGGGGTCCTCAGCCCATCTGGGTTTCTAAGAGTGCTGCCAGGGGGCCCTTCAAAACTTCTGCGGGGCAGTTCCTCGCAGCACCCCCCGGCTCAGGGTCACACTGCTCAGCAGGGCTGCGCCCCCGGGGGCCGTGCTGGGACCGGGGCCGGGGCCGTGGGGCCGGGGCCGTGGGGCCGGGGCCGTGGGGCCGGGCCCCTCCCGGCGGCGGTTGCCTGCAGGTGGGGCTCTGGCAGCACGATCCGCCGCCGCCTCCCCGCGTCCTCCCGCCGAGCGCAGCCCCGGGCTGTCCCTGCCCCGGCACCTCTGGCGCGCAGCTCAGCCGCGCCCGGGGACACTCGGCTCCGTCCCCTCCGGCTGGCAGCGCGGGCCCACGGCCACAGGCGATGCTCAGCCCGGCTGCCGCGGGCCTTCCCCTCCCCGAGCAGCCTATGCCCACTTTGCTGTGGCAACGTGACTCCTGCAGCTTTCTCATCTCCCTCCCCAAGGCCTGCTTTGGAAAAGGACCTATTTGTTTCAAGAGGATTTGCTTTAAATTTTCAGAGAAATAAAATTTCTTTTAAATCAACAATAATAATAATAATAATAGTGAAAAAGCTCTGGGGAAACACTGTGTTTTGAAGGACATTTGCTTCAAATTATTTTCTTTAAAAGGAAGAAAAAACCTGCTCAGTTGATCTTTGATGAGTTTAAGGGCTGGGGTGGGTAGTGCAGTGTACCCAGCAATCAGCTGTAGCAACAGACTCCAGCAGAGGATAAAAACCCCACAGCCCCCCATCCCCTGAGAAAGAGGTCGGGGCTGGAGGTTCATGAGTATCCTGGGACCCACTGAGGAAACATCACGTGTCAGGGTGGTAGCTGGACACAAGCACATAGAAGAATACAAGGGGAGAGTGCTGGACTCTCTCTGTTGTGGAGAAGATTCCTGTTTGAGACCAGGTCAGCAGTTTTTCCTCCCCTCCGTGCTCCTGGTGTAGCACAGCCCAGTCCTTTCTCACTTGGAAGTGACTTGACTCTCTAAAACAAGATCTGAATTGGGAGAAGTTTTGCAACAATTCACTTGTGTTTCAAGATCACCTGCAGCAGGAACCCTAGCAGAGCTGTAATTCCGTGCCACCAGTGTGTTAATCATCACTGCCAATGTAAGCAAATACTCAGAGCAGAAGCTGAGAAGCAGCCGAAGCCACGAAGCCCACGTGCCGGAGGTCTGCAGCGTGTTGCACTGCAGCCTTGGGAATGACTTTTATGGGAGCAACTTTTTTGGGAACTGACCCTTCTTGCACCAGGGCTTCAGATCTGAGCTGTACCGCGGACACAGCCGGGCGTGTTTAACAACAGGAGGGGTGGCTGGGTCCAACTCCCAGGGATCTCTGATAGCAGCATCTGGGTCTCAGTGAGGGCTCATGAAGGAGAACCATGAGCAGTTGGATATTCAGTTACCCCCCGTCCACAGTAAGGCCAGAAACCTGTGGTTGACATTACGTGCTTAAGCTCATTCTTAGAAATACGTTCTTTAACATGTTTTCTGAAAGCATCCAAATCCCCTGCCAGGTTTCAGCTCCCAGCAGGAGGAACGGTTCTGATTCTATTGTCCCTAAAAATGCTGTTTTTAGAACAGAAATATCCCAGGAGTTTGTATCCCTGCAGTACGTGCCATTCCTCATCCCGGGAATGGCACCCATCCTCAGCGCTACATTTATGGTAATAAATTTAAATAAATCCAACCGCTAGGACTGTCTGGAGAGCATTGGCGGCACATCGCCTCCCGGCCCCACAGCCCTGCCCCTCCTTCAGCAAACACCCTCCAGCCCTTACAACTTCTGTGGCTGCTCACCCCGCGCAGGGGAGCGGGACCACCAGCCAGCAGGCAGAGCGTGCCGCGACCAGGCACGACGTGCCACACCGGGAGGAGACAGCCACGGCAAGTTAAACACTGCAGAGCTAGAATGTGCTGGGAAGGAGTTAACTCCTCATGAAATAAAGCTTTAGGAGAGCTGGTAACTAGAGGCGGAATACTTGATCTTTGCATCGCCCTGGTTCAACACACACCCACCCATTTCTGCTTCCTTGATGTCACTAAACCACCTCTGATCTTTCAGAGTTGAATGAGCGTGCTTTTGCTGACGTACTTACCAACAACTAAATATAAAATGCGGGAACGAAGCCAAATGCCCTGGAAGAACTGCTCGGGTTTGTTTTCTCCTAGAATCAACAGCAGCATAACGTCACAGTCAACATCTAGAAAGTTGTGCAATTTTCAGTGGTGCTTTTAAACTGTTCAGGCCCCATGGTTTAGTGCTTTTAGAAGAGACTGTTTATTTCTGTTGTTTAAGTCTTCCCAGCTAGCACTTTCCCCCTTTGCTCTGCTGCCTATGAAAGAGTCCCACGGATTCAGCAGAGTATTGTCTATCCACACGGGCATGTGACACCCAGCGGTCCGTCTTTCATTTGGCTCTAGGTTTTCCACCTGACCCTTTAAACATCTCCACAAGCAGCTTCAAATGAAACCCCCTCCCCTACCCTCAGCATCAGAAACTTGTACACATATATGTTTTTACCGCAATCCCATGTTGCAGGGAACGA